TGTGGTGCCTCCCTTTCCTTCTCCTCACCTGGATAGGAATCCCTGGTCCAGCCACACCTGCTGGCCTCTGAATGCTCCTGGCACTTCTTCACTGCTGTTAGGTCCTGCAGTTTGCTCCCCACGATGACTCACGCTGCAGCTTCCCTTCCCCACACATTGCTTTATCACCTCTCTCAAGTCCTGACCAGCACCCCAAGCTCCACCCCTGCCCCCAGGATTCTGACTGATGGGAGTAGTGGGGCCTGCCAAGCCCCCTACAACCCTGCCTTACCCCACTCTAGGCCTTGCAGACAGAATTCCTACTTAATGACGTCCTTGTCCCCTCTGCTAGTCCCTAAAGCCCTCCTCTTCCTGGATTTTGCCTCTCTGTGGCTGGCCCAGTAGATTGAAAACCTGTGGGGCGAACAATTTCCAGGACAGTAGCTGTGGCTCTTGGGTCTCACATATCCTGTGTTTGTCTCCTACCCTAGCTGTGCTGTTGGGAAGTGGGAAGGGGGTGATCCACAGCGGTAGCCTGTCTTAGACACAGATCCTTGCTTCTTGCTCCTTCTCCCTCCCCCATTTGCTCCATGTTACTGAGAGGGCCCCCACAGGCCATGGACCCAGGTTGTGTGTCTGTTTGCACGGATGCCACCTGTAATGTCCCAGGCGTGGTCTGTAGAGCACCTATGTCAGAGAATCCTTCTGGCTGCCTGGGAGGCAGGTCTCATTAACTTCCATTTGATGAATGAGCCAACCGAGGCCTGGCAAGGGCGCAGGGATGTGTGCGTTATGATCCAGAACTCGTCCATGACAGACCTGGACTTTGCACAAAGCCTTCCTGGTTCTGAGTATGCTTGTGCCTGGCATAGCACAGGCCAGAAATGCAGTGGGTTCTTTAACTAGGCTCTGTCTGCTTCCAGAATCTGTAAGAAAAGTTGGGGGATGGTGGTACCACCTCCCACCAGTTACCTCTGCCCAGGGTGTGCCTGCACCTCTCCAATGACCCTTGGTCTTCTCATCCCTCAAGTGAGCCTACGGATACCTAGGAATACCTCCTAGGGCTGTAGGGAAAATGAAGTGAGATCATATCTGCAAAATGTTCACCAGCAGTCGACACTTAATAAATGTTATTCTCCTTCTCCTTGATTTAAAAAAAAAATTCCTCTATCAATTCAGCAACATTCTTGTTTTTTAAAAAATACAGCTCTCTGGGGGCACAGCCTGGATGATCAGAGAGCCCTTTGCCCCAGACCCCAGGGGGCAGAGGAAATGCCAGGCAAGGAAGGCACGTCCCCAAAGGGCTGCATATTTCCTTGGAACCCTAAGGATGCCCTGAGAGACCCTCCCTCCCCGGCCCCCTCCCTGATCAGAAATATACAGACAGAGGGGACCCGATACGGAGCCTGGAAGCCTTTGGAATTTATGTAGAAAACAAAATCAATGGCAATGAATTTTATTCTAATGATCTGCATCCCATCTGCTGGAAAGAACTGGTTTCCACAGAGAAATCTTTCCATGCCGTTTTGATCAGGGGCAGGGCGGGGCGGGCAATGAAATTGCAGTTTGGGGAATTGGCCCCAAGAAGACAAGGACTCTGCTCAACACATATCTTATGACATCTCCCCATGGCCTCTCAAGAGCTCTCCTTGTGACCCCATCCTGTCTCTTTAAAATGCATGATGGAGACAGATCTGCTCCAGATTGCCTTTGAAAGCAACGCCAGCGTTGCTTGGAGCACCCCGAAAGATGGAGGGTTCTGCGAGCACCTTGCTGGCCCTGGTTCTCCGGGGACTTCTCCTGGCTTCTAGGAATAACGTGTACCTAGTTCAGCTACCGGTGTGGGGAGCACTGATTAATGGTGCTGCGACGCTCAGTAGAGGCAGGTGCTTTTTCACTGCTGCGGGCGGCCCTGACGGATGGCACCGCTGCCTCCCTGGCTGGGGTGGCCTCGATCAGGGCTCCCTCTCCCCACTCCAAGCCTCATCCATCACTACGTCCCCATTGCCGGCTGTGGTTGAGGCACAGTTCGTGTGTGTGAGCTCACGTAAACCTTCTAGGCACCCCAACAGGGAAGGCACTGTTATTGTTGTTCATTTCCTAGCTGAGGGTCAGGAGTCGCCCCACCCCAGGCCTGGCATCCATATGCGGTGGCAGGTCCAGGATGCAAACCCAGGCTGCTGTGAACCCAGGGCTCTGCTCTTTTGCGCTCCACTGCACTTTGGCGAGCAGATAGGAGCAATGCAGACAGCATGTTGGTTACCAGCTCTAGAGGTACCTGTGTCTGGGTCATGGCATACAGTTGGCCAGGTTTGCACTGCACAACCCTAGTGGGTACCAGTCACAGAACAGTGTGCAGGGCACAGCTGCACAGCCCACATGTCAGCCCAGGATTCTAGCTGTTTTCAGCTGTTGACTCAGTGCGGGGGCTCAGGAGAATTTGCATCGCCCCCTCGGTTCTGGGCTGGACAGCTGGTCCTGCAGCCTTCCATCTGGGTGACCTAGGGCGAGTTCCTCACCCCTTCTGTGACCCAGTTTCCTCATCTGTAAAATAGGGAATAATAGCATAGTCTCTCTCTAGGGCAGTGGTTCTCAACCTTGGCTGCACATTAGAATCACCTGGGAATCTTTTTAAAATCCTGATTTCTGGGCCTCATCCTCCGGAAATTCTGTTTCTTTGTTACTAATGATGAGGCCCAGAAACCAGGATTTTAAAAAGATTCCCAGGTGATTCTAATGCGCAGCCAAGGTTGAGAACCACTGCTCTAGGGATTGGTGCAATGGGTTCATGAGTTCATCCATGTGCAGTGATCGAGACAATTCTGGCCCATAGTAAACACCCCATGAATGTTGGTTCGTGTTTGCAATTATTTTTATGACCTTCAGAGCTTCACTTTCCACTGTCCCCTTTGCCGCCCAACATCCTCCTGCCCAAATGGCTTATCTTTCCCCACACATTCCTCTGATTTCCCAACCCCTTGCCTCTACTCATGTTTTTTGCCCCACCTAGCATGCCAGCCCTCATTTTCACTACGTCCAAATTCTACGTGCAGGGGCTAGCTCAGGTGCAGCCTCTTCCAGGAAGCCTTCCCTGATCTCCTTAGGAGGAACTTCTCTCTCCCCTGCTATAATATCTCATAGCACATGGCTTTCGTCTCTGACAGTTGCTCACGTCACAGCCAGGCCACCTGTGAAGTGTCTCCCCCACTAGACTCTGAGCTGGTTGAGGACACGACCTGTTGACTGCATGGACCTCTCAGCCCGCACAGTGCCTTCACCCAGGGCTCAGCACAGAGTAGGTCTCTAGCAAATGCTTTGTAATTTTAATTGAATGGATAGATTAATGTCCCCCTAATGGTGACCTAATAACAGGAACTTCGCATATGATGGGCACAAGCATCTATCTTTTTCTTTTTTGTTTCAAAAGATAAACAGCCATTATTTCTTTTTCTTTTTTTTCTTAGTTTTTTTTTAATTTGTAAGTGTACAATTCAGTTGTTGGCAGTATGTTCACAAAGTTGTGCCGCCATCATTATCCAATTCTGGAACATTTTCATAACCTCGGAAAGAAACCCCGTACTCATTAGCCGTCAGTCTTCATCTTCCCCTCCCCCAGCCTCTGGCAGCCACTGATTCCTTTCTGTCCCTGTGGATTTTCCTATTCTGGACATTTCATGTCAGTGGAATCATGCAATGCATCATCTTTTGTGCCTGGCTCCCTTCATTCTGTTTTCAGGGTTCATCCATGTTGTAGCATGTATGAGGGCTTCATTTCTTTTTGCAGCTGAATAATATTCCATTTAAGGGGAGACCACATTTTGCTTAGCCATTCATTCCTCGATGGACATTGGGGTCGTTTCCACCTTTTGGCTATTGCAAATAACGCTGCCGTGAATATTGGCTTCATTTCTTTTTGCAGCTGAATAATATTCCATTGGAAGGGGAGACCACATTTTGCGTAGCCATTCATTCCTCGGTGGACATTGGGGTCGTTTCTACCTTTTGGCTATTGCAAATAACGCTGCCATGAATATTCGGGCACAAGTTTTAGTGTCCTCCTCTCTTTTCCACACTGTCCCTGGTACTTCTGCCTTTGGGCAAATCGTCTGAAAGGTGTTGCTGCAGAAAGCGGTGAGAACAGAGCTTATGACTCGAGACAGCCTCCCCAGTGCCAGGCTCTGTGCTGGGCATGAGACATCCGCGATCTCCTTTCACCTTCACGGGGCTCCGTGAGATTCCCAAGAGGGCACGTGCCATGCTTAAGGTCATGGGCCTGGAGGGTAGGATTCACCCCCACATTTCTGTGACTTCAAAGCCTGTGTCCATGCCACAATTTGGCAGTGGCTGCCTCGGTGAGGTGAGCGGATCTGCGTAATGAAAGGTGCCCCTGCAGAGAGCTTATGCCTTCCCAGCCTGGCCCAGACAGCCCTGAGGGTGGGGTGCTCTGCCCACCCTATTTGTCCCCAGGCCATCCAGCCAGGACCCTTGGCCTCTCGGTCCTGCCCCCGGAAGCCACATTCAGACTGCAGATGTGTCAAGAGCATCTGTATGGATTGACACGGGGTGGAAGACATTGAGTATCAGTCGCAGGGTGGGGCTGGGGAGATCAGCCAGGAGTGCCACCTGTGCCCGGGCAAGCAGTGAGGATGCTGGGCTCTGCTGCCCCCGAGCTCTGGGCAGAGAGGGCTCAGCATATCTCCTGACAGCAAGTCAATATGACCCGACCTTCTAAAGACAGACACCACTGCCCTGGCCGGTTTGATTAGTGGTTAGAGTGTCGGCCCACAGACCGAAGGGCTCGATTTCTGGTCAAGGGCATGTACCTCATCGGGTTTGCACCCCACCCCCGATTGGGGTGTGTGCAGGAGGCAACCAGTCAATGTGTTTCTCTCACATTGATGTTTCTCTCTCTCTCTCTCCCCCCC